GGCCGTATGTTTGACACCCCTGGTAGACTCTACAGCAATCTGAAACATTGGCAAGTGGTTATGTTTGGATACTAATTACTTTTCAATATTCCAAAATGTCCCTGCAGCCTGATAGGTAAGAGCTGCACATAGATTGCTTATCCTTTAATAATTTCACATAATATTACTGTATACATGTATTGCAATTTCTTTACATGCCTGAGTGCCTGAAAAAAAATTCTGATAATGAAAATGTAAATCTAATATAGTATTTACATATACATGATATATGCAATATATTGCCGGATGTTTGTGGACATCTGAACATAATATGTGAATACTTAATCATTACAATTGTCATTCCAAAACCATATAGTTAGTGGTAATGTTACTGAAAGAATCTCCACTCTCCAAATTTGGTAAAAGAGAGTAAAGGTTTTCTTCCTAAAACACAAGTTTTATCAAGTAAAATCTTGATGACGTTTAAATCATCATATAATGAGCAAGAAAACCTAAAATGGACTCTCACCTAAATCACATAACAGACCAAGCCTGACCAGACCTGCATGATCATTACACTTGCCTGTTTCTATAGCTAATGGTAATAAAAAGGAACGTACTTGTGCGCAAAGAGATCTTTGACTTTGGGTTCAATTCTGCTTCACGTAAGTGGTGTTCGTAATTTAGGTTTGTACCAAATATCTGTCCCAAACTTTCCTTTTAAATAGGTAATCATTTGTGCTGAGAGTCATGAATTTTATGCTGCAATTTGTTTTGTAAATTATAAAAAAATAAATCATAAAAAGTAAAGATTTCACTTCCAGAGACCCGAAAGGTGCCTGAAGATATTATTCTACTGAGCTGCTGTTCAGATTCAGATCATCTCACATGTCTGAGATTTGGAGGTTTACATTCCTTAACACCAGCAAGGGCCAAAACTGGTGTAAACGTATGAACTCCCAGAATTGATTGTAATGACCTATCCACTGAATTATCTAAAACACCAATACCTTCCTTAAAAGACAGATGCTGAGGCAAAGTGCTGCCCAACAGTATGACAGCACTGTGACTTCTTGCAATTAATACTATTTGTGCTTTGTCATGGTTTGCTGCCAGTGTCCACTTCCAGCCACATTAACACCTTTTTCATTGTCAACTAGTAATATTATATCATCTGCATAAAGTAATATTCTGATGATTAAATCATCTACTCTAACTTCCCACTTACAAGATTTATTTTGTGAATCATTAATATCCAGAAGGTGGTGCTATAACAGCCTCCACTCTTCTGGGAAGACTTTCCACAGTATTTTGGAACCTGGCTGCAGGAATATGCTCCCATACAGCCACAAGAGTGTTAGTGAGGGGTAGCAGGGGTCCACATACATTTGCTCTACAGTATATAATGTATCTATGGATTCAACATATAACAGGTTGAAGATGGTAATAAGGGTCTTCTAAACCTGGTAAAAAATCAGTGTCTGGCCAGTTATCAGGCCAAGTTTCTCTTTCTTTCATGCTTTCCTCATTTTCAGTGGCGAGCGCAACCACCCTCTCCTCTTTCCACTGCCTCTCATGCTCCTCCTTGAGCTCTGTGTAGGTGTGATGGAACATGTGGAAGATAGATGCAGAAGGGAAAGACAGAATGAGGATCCCTGATAAGATGCTGATCAGGGCTACCAGTTGGCCTGGGATGCTGTGGGGCACCATGTCGCCGTACCCCACCGTGGTCTCCGAGATAATGGACCACCAGTACGACGCTGGGATGCTGCTGAAGCTGACCTGGGGGGTTCTGGCTGCATTCGGAGCCAGCTCACTCTCAGCGAGATGTACCAGTGGGGAGAAGACAGTCACAGCGACACACATGAAGAGCAGCAGCAGGCTGAAGTCTGTCATACTCTGCAGGATAGTCATCCCCAAGGTCTGTAGACCCAAAGAGTGGCGGGCCAGCCTCATCACATACAGGATACGCAGGGCCCTCATTACACGCATGGTTAGACCCAGTTTATCTATGGTGCTCTTTCCAGCACCAGCCACAATATCCTGTACAGACTCACCCCCGAGCTCCAGAAACAGTGAGACATAGTAGGGCAAGATGGCAGCAGCATCTATGATGTTCAGAGGACTACGGGTGAACTCCAGCTTGCTCTGTGCGTGGAAAAATCGCACCATAAACTCTAATGTGAACCAAGCCACACAAACAGACTCCACAACAAACATGTTGCGGCACTTTTGGGAGCATTTACCCTGTGGAGACAACAAAAGACAAAAGTACTGATAAAGTGTTTTAGGTGAAGTTTCAGCAAAAAAGGTGTACTTATATTGCTAAAGTTCCCTTCTAATGGTTTTGCATATTTCAGCCCCTTAATTCTCATTTTAGGTCTTGTTAGTAGGTATGAAAATTAACTTGTGCCTTACTTGACATACTCTGGAGAAAACATTACAATGAATAATTTATAATCTTTGTTTTTGTTCTTTTATGTGTTGGGATGGATTTGCAAGCAGAAGCAATTTTTTCTTTTAAATTTCTGTATTGTGATTTCCTAAAACTCTGCAATTGCAATACTAAATCACTTGAGTACTACTTTAATCTCCACACAATGTCCATGGTTGGTTACTGGTTGTCATCTTTATTTAATATGTTGACAGCATAGCTGCACTGTTGACAGGACTGTCACTTTTTTATCTGAAATTTAAACTACCGTTAGTTCGAATTCAAGGCCATGCTTTGTACTACGGTGGGGGGCGTTCCAAAAATGTACTATTCATCTGACCTACTGCATGCCCTGTTGCGCGGGCAGTCAGCTAAGCTAATACAAAATCAAGACAACTTGCGAATCATGACACCAACCGATCTGATAGGTAAAGTATGACCCCATTAATGAAAAAACTGTGGATAAAAGTAACCCAGCACATGTAAAATGCAACTGCCCCTTTTAACAAACAGTAACGTAAGCTTGTCACAGCAATAGAAGTATATCAC